TGTTGGGACTCTTAAATCACCTCATAATTCATTAGGTATGTGTGTTGTGGGCCGATACATAAAAACATTTTGCTTTAGCCCTTAGCCAACATATATCCCACAATAAGGCCCCACCTTATCTTGCGGAGCATAATTGTCTTTGGGGTTTCACTTTTATGACTCAAAAGAGTCCTGCCTCTCTAGGTTTCACTTCAAGCAAGGTTCTGGATTCCCCAAATTCAAGTAGGTTGTCCACAATATCACATTATCCTAGCTAACTGCAGAAAATTGAACTGTATTGAATAGTGGCTTAAATATATATTTGATCAACCAAGTGATAGATTTATATGAGGGGTAAGGTTTAGCACTAGTGAATTTGTTTAGATATTGACTTTTTTTTTTATTCTTTTTTTTTTTTTTTTTCCCCTTTAGATATTGGCTTGAATGTGGTAAACCTTGAAGAAATACAATTAACAAAGTTACTGAAATTAATAACAAAATTCTGCAATTACTAAATTCAAATTATGTGGAATGGTAAATCCTATCACATATTGTCACGATGACATCCTATAATGAGACTCAATTTAGTCCCATTATAGTGAAATTCGATAATTACCGAATTTAGTCATTAAATCATTATTCTAAATTTAATCATCACTTAAGCACCTTGATATCCACACCAAGGAAAATGAAATGACTTCGAATGGGCCTAACAAGGAAAAGGAAAATCCAAAAGTATCCGAGGGTCAAGAAGGGCTTCGTGGACCATTGTCCTGTTTATCATGATCCAAACACAACTCAATACCACCTTCAAAGTTGCAGCTTTTGTACCTTTGAATTGTTAAAAAAGAAACCTCCATATGCCAATTCCATGTCATTGTGGAACAAAAATGAGATCAAACTAGTGCAATTTAATGAGTAATTATTCATGAATTGACTTAGATTGGTTCATTCCCCATATTTGTTTAGGGTGTTTGAATTTTAACCTACCCATGTGAATCATATTTGATTTTGACATAAATGTCATTTATTATCCATTATTACTTTGTTTACACAACTGTTTTTTTTTGGGAGTATAATGAATTTGAAATTGGAGAAAAATTTAGTTTAAAACTAAAATAAATTTTATCTAATTTCAATTTCAAGGCATCGAAGATTCGTTATTTCAAATATAACAAAAGTAAATACTCTGTTTATCGGTTAGAACTTTTTAAATTTTAGCTAGGGATCAGGAGTAGCTCCTAACTGACACATATTCTTAGTTCAAAACTCAATTAAATTTTATCCAATTTCAATCGATGCTTCAAACATAGCAAAAATACATATTCTCGTATTTGTATTTGTCGGCTAGAGATGTTTTAGTTTTAGCTTGAGAACAGGGTAGCTCCTAACTAACTTTTGACGCAAATTTTTTGTTCAAAATTCAATCAAATTTTATCCAATTTCAATTCCAATACATCAATTCTGTGCTCCAAACATAGCAAAAGTACATATTCTCGTATTTGTGTTTGTCGGCCAGAAATGTTTTAATTTTAGCGGTAACTCCTAACTGATTTTTGACACAAATTTTTAGTTCAAAGTTGAATTTAATTTATCCAATTTCAATTCCAATGCGTCGATTTGGTGCTCCTAACATAGCAAAAATACATATTCTCTTATTCGTGTTTGTCGGCCAGAACATTTTAAAGTTTTAGTTTGGGAACAAGGTTAGCTCCTAACTGACTTTTGACAAACACTTTCATGTAACACAAGACGACACCAAAAAAAATTCCTAAGCATCCCATAATGTTCCACTTTAATATGGCAAAATCATGATTATACAAAGCATAGATGGAGAGCTACAAGCACTCACCACATGAAATTGGTGATGCACTACAAATGCATAACATTTAGGTATGTTGGCCATGACAACCACTCACAATACATCTTCCTCTTCTTGTTAGGAGATATGTCTTTTTCCACTGTGACAATAGTTGCATCATCTGACAGCTGTCATTAATCAATCGTTCATGAATGTATTGTAAAAACAAAAAAGGGATTTTTTTTTTTTTTTTTTGGAGAAAATTTAGGGGTCTCTAGTGATTGGCCTACCTAAAATTTAATGAGGATTAATTGTATTTTGGTGAGATTTGAAATGATTGGATATTCTGAGTAATCTAACCATCACCTTTCAGACTAATTAAAGTGGATTTCCATAAATGGTAAATTACTTCTTGCCACAACTACCCTCTTGTTATTATCAAAATTCAAATCAAGTCTAAATCATAAGAATTTTTGGACTAATTTATCTGAGTGAGACTAACATTATCATGATGTCATTAATATTTTTGATATCGTGATTCTTGACGATATTAAATCATATTCACGTAAAATCAATGAAATGTAACTGCTCCCTATCATTACTCTTTTAAATTATCAAGTTGTTAAAGTTCATAATTCTAATTATAACTTAATTAAATGTAAAAGAAATTAAAAATATATCCTAGATGTTAATCATTAATCCTAAAAATCGTAAATCTTAGTGATATCATAAAGTTTACTATTAAAAAAACCCTAGATATTTTAACATCAAAGTAAATATATATTAAATATTGTTAATAGAATATTTATTTCTATTAAAAATTTAATATGTCAATTAATAAAGTATATTTTTCTCATATGTATTTAATATTTAGTGTTATGTAAATACTCCGTATTAAATAATAGAGAGTTAGAGGATAGAGGTAGAGGAAAATTGATGACAGTGAGTTTCGAACACACGCCAAAGACCTCAAACATACGCCCTATGGGTGAGAGAGAAGAACTATGGAACATAGAGGGAACAAACTAGGCCATGAAGGACACTCAAAGAATGGCCTTCCGCAACCAAAGGAGGCTTTACAAATGAAAAAAAATATGAACTTATCGATCAGTAACAATTACAACTTAATATAATAATAATTGATAAAAACCTTTAAAAAAAGAGAGGGCATATTTTATTTATTTTTGTAAAAAAAAAAATTCCTCATTAAATTCTATCTATGAAATCACAAAATTAAATAAATAAATAAATAATAAAATCAATCGAACATTGTAGCATTATTCAACTATCATTTAGGCTCCATCTGCCTGATCGTAAATTTTTTTTTTTTGTATTTTTTGATATTCGGTTGTAGTAAAATATTTATAGAAAAAAAAAATAGTAAAATCTAATAAAAATTATCTATTCATTAATTTTTGACAATCTATTTTAGACGCTCCATTTGATGGACTCGACCTCAACCAGTCAATCTCGACCTACACTTTTGTCAAATACTAAACAAAATAAATATATATATATATATATATATTTTACGTCAAAATTATGTAAGATACATACCAAAATAATAGGAGTACATGTATATTCAAACACGCATACATGAGATGATGGGATGGTATATTTGTCTGTTGAATCATATGGGTCCCTGACCCCACCATGGGTTTATTAGTCATGTCTGTGTTCTCTCCAAAAATTGTCAGTTTGTTGGGTCCTTTTATTTTCCATTTTCGAGTTAGTCTAGGGTGTGGCTATATATAACTAAGATATGGTGTTGTGGGGTCCATTGACCATTTTGAAAATGACGTGTGTTTATTCCGGTGGGCCCATAGTTTGATTGCCACAACTAGATCCTGTGTGAATCACGAGACTTGCTTTTGATGGTGAGGTCTGATTAGGGTACATAAAGGGCAATTTTGTAAACACAGGCCCAAATCCATTGGGCTTTGACTGATCACCTGAACAAACTGGGCTGACCCTAAATTTTCTTGAGAAACCAAAGACCGGCCTGTAGAAATTGGGATACCAATTGCGGCTTCTCTAGGGCCGGACTACGAGATTATATATATTTTTTTCAATGGTATTGGATATCGTCGAACACTTACATAATCCACAAGTCACAATTAAACCCATGCAATTTTGCGTCTCGTATACACAAGGTAAAAATTCCCGGAGATGGTGCCAAGGGATTCAAACTCCCCCTTTATAAGGTGAGAGTTCTGCCGTTAGGCTATCCCCTTCTTTAATGAGAGAGGTTCGAACCTAAGTTACATAATTTTTTTAAATAGGTGTCGCTCTCACGTTTCGAGTGCCTCCCACTCACACATTCTTGCTCCCGATCCCACTATGTGCGACTTAAAGGTAGTAACTAATTTTTGTTTTGGAGAGTAAATTGAATTTAATTTAAAAGAATGAAACCTATAAAACCAATTTAAGAGAATTTAAGCCTCATTACAATACTTTTCATAACTCCTCATAATTAATTAAAACCTAAGTAACACCTAAAACTGAATTAACTCCCCCACTCAAAATTTCAAAACCATAATAAAATGCAGTTTACTTATTATATACTGAAATAACTCACTTACTTAATTTTGAAGTGCATTAATTACAACTCCAAGCATTATAAATGTATTGGAATATTTGGTTTCCTTATTTTCTGGTATTCAAACCATTCAGATGCTTAAAAAGTAAGTCTTTATATATATATATATATTTTTTCACTTTATCCATCTGATTTGTACTCCATTGGATTTCCATGGTCTTGTTCTTGGGATTAGACGTAATATTTCGTTAGTCAGTTTTCTACATTATATTTTTCTATTTTTGCATTTATATTTTTTGAGTAAATAAATTGATGAATGCATGAGTATTGAACTTTTAATATTTCATTATCATATTTATATCTAGTCATTTAATCGAAATAGAATTTTTGTTATGGTCTGCTGCTAGGAAGTACCAATGCGGACACGGGATACACATTGATACATCAAAAATTAATGATATATAAGTAATCATTTTATCATCAGTAATATATATTTAAATTTCAAAACATTTCTAGCCGTATCTAACACGTGTTCAAGTGTCCGACACCGCCACAGCACCTCTGATTGAAGTGTCCGTGCTTTTTAGGTATGCTTATTTATGTCACTAACATGAAATTTTCACAGGCACATCGATAAGTACTGAAGCACTGTTATGCATAAAGCTTCACATCTTTCTTAGCATTGCTGCCACTATCTTCAAACATCAGCAACACATTCAACAAGGACCCCCATGGTATGGCACTTAAAAAGCTCTAATTTCAACTGCTCACTTAAGGTGTTCAAACCATTTCAGGTGTGAATCAAAGTAAATCCCATAATTCTTTAAAACATAAAAAGAAAATAATAAATACCTAAGCCAAACATGGAATCATAAAGAGTAATATGTTTATATGTATGACTATTGAACGTACAAATATATGTGTGTTAAACATGAGTTTGGGTATGTACCACCAATAGTCATATTTAGCTCGCTATTTTGCCTTTGTCTTGGTGTCTTTGGGTCTTAACTCTCAAGTCCCAAGTTAAGTTACTGAGTCGAGATTGGAAAAAGAGATGAGTCGTCGTATCTAGCTTCTTGTGAAAATAGGAGACCTGTCACCAAAACAAGCACATTATCAAGTATGTAACTGTCACCAAGACACGCACATTCTCAAGTATATATAACTAGGTTCTCCAATAATAACTAGACCAATTCATGTGTTCTCAATCACGTATGTATAGACATCAAATATATGAAAATTATTCTAGGAAAATTCTAAGATATATTTCCAACATCATTTTGCTTCACTTACAATTAGTATACAAATATGGAATCTCTCTGTACGTATTATTCATGTTCTTTCTTTTTATCTACGTACAAGGGGAAAAAAAAATATAGAACATCAAATATATGAAATTATTCATGTTCTTTCTTTTTCTGTGTGTAGAAAAAGAACACTGTCAACAAACCAAGATGATCTCTGTCATCTCACTCATCCAACAATCTTAGATCCAACAACTGAAACTCTATTTGCAGTGGACCCGACAAGCTCAACCTCCTCATTGTTGGAAGGACCCGCCCATACCCTAGAAAATACCAAGATTATGTAATGGCCCTCATCACCCAACACCTCCTGTGCAGTAGCACAGTACCCCAGCCCTAGTATTCAGTGTGGGCAGGCACACGGGAAACTTCTACCATGACATTGATGACCGCTTCATTCCGCTCTTCATCACTATCCATTCCCACTACCATGATAGGAATGTTGTCCTCACGTTCGTCAACTGCAGCGATTGGTGGCTACTCAAGAACACAGACCTAATTCCCCTACTTCACGCGCCACCCGATCATCAACCTATATTAAGAAACCAACACTCGTTGCTTCCCATCAGCGATTTTATGCCTGATAAGGCACGGTGCAATGACTGTGGACCCCACATTATTACCTGGTCCCCACCCAAAAACAATCCTGGATGTCCATGCACTCCTAAGAACTGCCTATGGCCACGGCCATGCAATACCAACACAGCAAATAGAAATACTACTAAAGCTTTTACTACTAAATCGGAGAGTCAATCGGAGGATACTGAACATAAATAAAGTCCACCGAACTGTGACTGACGTCGGGATTGGCGTGGTGGTTTTTGAGCCAACAATTGACAAGCTTTTGCATGAAGCATATAGACTTATTGAAGCTAGCCATGCAATGGTAGGGGTGCATTGTGCAAGACTAACACAAGCATTCCTCCTCCAGCCAAGGGCGGTGTTCATGTAGGTGGTGCTGATCGGATTAGGTTTGTTGGCAAACAATTGTTACAAAAGTATTGCTAATAGAGTGGGGTTAGACTATATAGAGTATGACATATAAGTGCATGAGACAAGCTTAGTAGGGAAGTATGAAAGTGACGGTTTCAAGCTAAAAGACCCAGACATTTTTCTAAATGGAAGTTGGTCCAAAATGCATCCATGATACAATGGACCAACGTTGAGCTTGATTGAAAAATTGGATTCAAACTCTCTTAACCTCAATCTTAGTCTGCTTCGAAAGTCAATATAAACACCTTATATTTTCTGAAAACATATGCAAGCATAACTGAAGGATATACAAAAATAATTCAGTGCAATCTAGCAATTTGATTGCTAGACTTTGTTCCTTTTGTATTTGTCATAACACATTTAAATCATGAGCGTGCTTTGAGTGTCGAACTTCAAACAATATAAGTGCTACAAGGATTTTCCAACAATGGAAACATCTTCTACACAATTACACGTCGCGGACAATACTAGTCATGGAGATCATTGTGCCAAGGAGGAGTGGGTTCAAGGAGAACGTCAGGCGTGAGTTTAGGTCAGAGATACTAGCATTTTTTATTAGTCTGCATAACCTAGTTGTCTTCATTTCCTTACAGTAATCTGATCTGCCTAGGGCCCTAGACCAAGTAGATTTCCCAGGGAAGTACATGCCTTTGAAGACATGAAAGAATAGAGATTAGAGAGTTATCCTCAATAGTTTCTTTGTCTCAAACCATCTCTCTTCTTCTCTTCATGTCTGTGAGCTGCCTGCCCCATCCCGCATCCATCCTTCCATCGTTTAGCCACTGACGAACTAAAGTATGCATTAAAATCTACAATCAATAGAAGATTCACGAAAAGTAGCCAAGCACAATAGCACAAGCTTATCAATAGGTAAAAATCATGCATTCATATATGTGGATGTTTTTAAATATTTAATTGTTTTTATCTGTGACATGAATGATTTTTACTTGCTTTCTGGTTAGTTGAAATTCATATTTTGAATTTTAAATTTGCATCTATAATATGAGTCAATAAATATTGAATTTCTCTTTTATGATGAATTTGCTTATTTAGTCCGCAACATGAAAATTTTACAGGTACAGCTATAAACATTGAAAGCTAAGGGTGGAATCAGAAAGTTAACAAGGACTAATATATAATTATGCATAAATGTACAAAACTGCAAGGAATGAGGAAGAAAAAAGGTTCAACAACAGTAGCTGTATGCTTGGCGGTGTTTGTATCCGTCTTCTTTCTTGATGTCATCGTCACAATCTTCAGATCATCAGTCTCATATTCAATTAGGACTGAGGGTATGGCGTATCAAAGCTCTAAAAAGACTAATTACTTTCCTTTCATATACACCATATTAAGCACAAAGTAGCTATATCCTAAACCTTCCTCTTCCTTCTATTCACACTACCCTTTCTCTAGTTAGTACTTACAAAAAGCATGCATTTTGTGTGCTTACTACCAGTATAGTTAAAAGTGTTATATCTCTCCTTCGTTTTCTATTTATTTATTATTATTATTTTTTTTTCTATGTAGAACAAAAGCTCTGGGAAGAAGTCACAAATAGGCCAAGGCACACGACGCCGATCAGATGTGATCATTTTGATTTTTATGATATGTGTCATGTCACCAGTCCAAACATCTTGGAACCAACAACTGCGACTCTATTTGCAGTGGAATCCACCAACTCAACATCACCATCGTCCGAAAGGATCCGCCCTTACCCTCATAAATTCCAATTGTCCATAATGCCCTCCATCAAGGAGTTAACACTCACCACAGCCCCACCCAACACCACCTCCTGTGGAGTCACACACAGAAGCCCAGCCCTAATATTCAGTACAGGTGGATACACTTCGAATTTCTTCCATGACGTTAGTGACGGCTTCATTCCACTCTTCATCACCATCAATACCTACTTCCCTGATAAAGATGTCATCTTCGCTATTGTTGATTATAAAGATTGGTGGCCACGTAAGTATGCTGAACTGTTAACCCAATTAACTCGCCACCCAGTCATCAATCTTGACAAAGGAACAACTACCCATTGCTTCCCATCAGCAATTGTGGGGCTCATTACGCATGGCCCCATGACTGTGGACCGCAGACGAAAAGCTGGTTCCCACCCAAAGACGATGCTCGACTTCCGTGCCATGTTAGCAAATGCCTATGGCCAAGCCAACACAATGCCATATCAACAACAGATAAAAAAAGCTCAACCGAAGCTAATACTACTGAACCGCAAACAAAACCGCAGGATCCTAAACATAGACGAAGTGCGGAGAGCCACAGCAGCAATGGGGTTTGAAGTAGTTGTTTTTGAGCCAACAGTTGACACCCCCTTGCGTGAATCTTTTAGGCTCTTTGACACTAGTTATGGACTGATAGGGGTGCATGGTGCAGGACTAACACACGCATTATTCCTCCGACCTGGGGCAGTGTTTATACAGGTTGTGCCAATCGGAGTAGTTTGGCTGGCACAACATTGTTTCCAAGGAATGGCAACTAGTGCGGGATTAGACTACACTGAGTACAAAGTAGAAGCGCGGGAAAGCAGCTTAGCAGGGAAGTATTCAATTGACAGTTTGGAGCTTACAAACCCACGAGCTATTGTAAATGGAAATTGGTCCAAAATGGATGCATATATGACCCAAGATGTTAACATAGACATATTGAGATTTAACAGATATCTAAAGAAGGCTTATGAGAAGGCTAAGAAATTGATGATACGGGAACGTTTGTCTATTGAAGGTCAGGCCAAAACTACAAAAGTTGCAGTGGAATGACGACAATTTATGTGTAATGATGATATTAGAGATTCAGAGTAAAAAAACATTGTCCTGGCACATAGAATTCAAATTCAAAGAGCTTAAATAGAATAATAGGCTAACACTGAGTTATGTTGAGTTGAGTCTTCTAAATAGAGGTCATGTATGTTGTCAGGGGCTTATTTGTTATTACTTATATAATGTTGGGGCTTATGTGTAATTTCAGAAACTTGTTATTATAAATAGAATGTGGTGGAAGGATGAAAGGATTCTTTCATTCTTTCTCTCTTTCCCCATCTCTTTCTCTTTTTCTCTCATCCGCTTTCTTCTCTTTTTCTTCTTCTTTATCACTTACTTTTGATTTGATTATATCTTAAAGTCAACATGGTATCAGAGCATGATTTGTAAAGCTCTAGGTTTGAAGTTGAAACCCTAGGGCAAGTTTGTGTAAACCCTAGTGGGTGTGAAGGGTTTTGAAGAGATTCCAAGATGGGATTCGTTTGCAAGGAAGTAGTGTTAATCAAATCCACACGTACCGCGGATCCAACTCATCTGGTATGGTCTACTTTGTTGCTTTCTAGGGTTTGTGTGGTGACTGTGTGGTCGCTTTTTTATGCATCTCAGAAGACAGTAATCTTTTTAATTAAAGTTTGTATGTTAGAGAGGTGGTTCTCTACTTATTTTGTTGCTGTTTTTGTTTCTGAGGATTGTATACCCAAAAATTGTTTGATAAAATGTCTGCCCAGAGGTGACTTCAAAAGAAGTTAGGTCTTCTCCTAGTTTGACTCCAGTATTGGGAGGTAGTAATGATCACCATCTAGGCCTTTGTATTACGATTCGGCTGGATGAGACGAACTATATGGAGTGGGCTCAATCTGCTCATATGCATATCACTGGTCGTAGAATGATCGACCATATCAAAAGGACTATCACGTATCCCTCCAAGAGTGATCCTGCATTCAAAGAGTGGAGTGCAAATAATGAACTAGTTATGACGTGGTTGTTGCAGTTCATGTAGCCACAGATTAGCAAAGAGT